TCCCCTCACAATCCCCATCCCCTCACAGCCCCGCCGCCCTCCGGCCCGGGGACGCCCCGCGCGTGCCCGCCCGGCCCGGCGGGACCGCGTGCGCGCGCCCGTGGCGCCGCTGCAGCGCCCTGTGCGCAGGCGCGGGGCCGCTCGTGCCCCCGGTCCCGCCGGACGCGGCCCGGAGCGGCGGAGAGGGGTGAGGCGGGGCMGGGGCGGGGGTCCGGGAGCCAACCGCGGGGAATGGGATTGGGTGTCGGGCCGTGCCACCTCGGCGTCATCTTTCCGGTGAGCGACCGGGAGGGACCCGGAGGGGGCCTCCTCCGAGACCGGCCTTCGTCGGGCCCCCGTGGGCAGGCCGCGGGTCGCTGGTCGTGCCCGTGCGAGATCGGGCATCAGCTGTGGGGGAGGCTCGGGCGCGGCCCCAGCCGCTGTGTCTCTCCGTGGGTTCCAGACTCCAGGGCGGAACCTCTGGGGGTGTCGGTGACSGGGCGCTATCCCCTGGTCTCTGTGGCGAACCGGCTGGAGGGGCTCCAGGCTGCGTCCGGGGACTGGCTCGGTGTGTGGAGAGGCTGGAAGGTGTTTAAATCGCTTGTGCGTGCCCCAGGTGCAGTAAGTACTGGAGAGGATCCTCTGATCGTGGGTGATGCTCGCCCCAGCACGCTCAGTTTACACCGCTTCTGCCAGCCCGCCCCCGCGGAGGGGCAGTGGATCCTCACAGGGAAGAGCTCTCTAAAACCAGATACTTGTGTTTTGCAGCCTTTGCCTCCTATGTTTTGAAATTTATATAATGAAAGTAGAATTTTGTTGTGAGTTTGTTTTCATGTTAATCTTTCCACCACATCCTTCATTCAGTGAAAATTGCTGCTGGAATACTGGGGGTTGCAAATTGTTACCCACCAAACACGAAATTTAGAGTGCTGAATAGAACCTGCCAAAATGCTTCTCAGCCTCTCTGGGCCTGTGAACAAGCGAGCAACAGCCGGGCAGATGCAGCGTGCTCTGCTGATTCCAGTCCCAGGGCAACAGGAGGGATAATGCCTCACAGATGCTTGTGATGGGAGAAAAGTGGGGCCCTCTCGTTTGAACGGTATTATCTCAATCCTAATATTTTTGTGACCAATTCCTACAAGAAGCAGGAGCATCTGAAAGCTTTACTGTCTTACAGGAAATCCCAGTAGGATTTTCAGAGCATCCAGGAATACGCAGAGCACAGAAATTATATGGGTTATATCTAGGGCACTGTATTACCAGAGTAGAGAATTCTCTATTGGAATTTCCTTCTTTCTGTTATCACTAGCTGTTAGGCTGTTGTAAAAGACTTTTCTCCAAGATAGTTACTCAGGAACAGCACTGATAACTCGAATCCAAGGACTCCAGCAACATTTTACAGTAGCTCTTTGTTCCTTCCAAGCAATACATGATACATATATCCTTTGTAATTTTCAAAACAGCTGTGGATAGTATTGCCCAATCATTAGCTGTTGGGGATCCTTGTACTGAACATGTTTTCTGTCATTAATATTTGCAAGTGTGCAGGTGTTCCTGCAACCAGAAATTTTAACTCAAAGGAAAACAGCTTTCTAGCTGTATTTTTTTTTACTGTTAATAATTAAATGCTGCCAGGGAAATGTTTCTAGCGGGCTGTTTGTGGATCCATCACATATTTAAGCACCTCTGCTCTTCCCAGCTCACTCCTTTTATTGTGACCTTTGTTTTCTCCCCTTGGTTGTATTTGCTTATTCATTTTGTTAATCTGAAATCTTTAAGGGCCTCCATGCCCTGATCCCCCTGTTATTTGGACTGTAAAGAAAAATGGAACAAAACAACTATCCCTGCAAGAAAATAGCTGTCTGTATATTTAAGGCGAGCAAAGCATTTCACACTGCATGTGTGTCTTACTATCTCCAACACCAAGATTATTGCAATCTGATAGTGCTACCGTGGCATTTGTTTAGGTTGTAAGTGCCTTTGCTTTAGTGCTGAAGCCACATACAGTCAGTGACGAGCACATTATTGGTAACATAAGCTGAGGTAGGTCCTTGCTGTTCTTCTGGGTCTGTAGAATTCCCCCTGCCCTGCCTGTTAGGTTGGAGAGGCTGTTGGAACTGCTACTCTTGGGCTGTGTTGCCACTCAAAATAGGTAAACTGTATTAATGGTCTGAAAGAAAAACAGCTCCTTTTAGTCCATCTGTACAGCCTTGGATCAGGACAATATCTAAAGGACTACAATTTCTCTTAAATTTGTTTGGGAATGCCTTTATTTTCAAGTTTATTTGCAATAGTCTGCAGTAGGGCAGTGTTGGTGGGTGCAGTGAATTTTGTCACAGAAATTGTGTTCTTGAGCCATTTCCTGCTTTGGTACTTGACCAGAAAGTCACCTGATACAAAGATAGACCTCATTGCACTGTAATCAATGATTGACTGGCTTGGAGTCCACATGTATTGGTGGGAATATCTGCTGGTGATGTCCAGTTCCAGACTCAAATGTTTTAAATTGTCTTGTATTAATAATATATGTATGTACTCATATCTGTGATGGTCATACTCTTAGGCTTTAACATAACATTTTATAACTTTACTATAACATTAATATAACTCCTGCTTAAACTTCTGCAGTTAGAGAGCAATTGTCTGAGCTTTCAGACATATTGCAAAAGACTATGAGCTCTTGATTCCCACTGTCTTGGGAAAGAGACTCAGGAGATGTCTGATTAAGGAGCATCTGTGTTAAGTAGTGTGCTGAGCTGTGCCTGGGGTGTGTAGGCAGCTACGTCAGCACAGAACCACAAAGTGGTTTGGGTTGGAAGGGCCCTTAAAGCTCATCTTGTTCCACCCCTGCCATGGGCAGGGACATCTTCCACTATCCCAGGCTGCTCCAAGCCCTGTCCAACCTGGCCTTGGACACTGCCAGAGATGGTGCAGCCACAGCTATTCTGAACACCCCGTGCCAGGGCCTCCCCACCCTCATGGGAAACAATTTCTTCCCAATATCTAATCTAAACTTACTCTCTGACAGTTTAAAACCCTTTCTCCCTCTCCTGATTATGTTATCAAATAAGTGTAACTTTGGTGTAGCTGCACCAACACTGGATTATTTTGTTATGCTTTTATGGGGAAAACAGCTTAGGGGAGAAGTGACTTGTACACAAAGTTGTTGTAGTGACTGTGTTTCAGGAAACTTGTACTGGATTTTGCCAGATCTGCAGGGCTGAGTATTAATCATTTGAAAAGAAAAATAATGTTCAGATCAGTTTGAATTTTTCTACCTAACAGGTCAAAGGCCAGATACCAAATCTCAGCAAATCAGCAGTTCCAACCCCACAGTCCACTGCATATTTCAGAGTATAGCTCAGTTTGTTTCAGAACTGGTTATCTAAATACTACAGAGCTGGAATTCTAAAATCACATACCAGTGCAGCGAATACCTGTTGGTCCCAGGAAGAGAGACACTTCCCAGAGACTGGCTGTTTAATGTTGACTTTGTATGTCCTGTATAGAAGAACAAAAGTTAGAAGTATTTGTGACACAGCTGCCATAAGCAGTAATTCTGTATGTGATTTTAGACACTGACGTGAGTTGTTTATGCTGCAAGCACTTTAATAATGTGGTTAATTAGCTGTTTTTCTCTGCTATGAGGATATTTGTCACCTTGTTTCCTAAAGCACAATTTCAAGTATGAAGGTTGGAAACTGTGCACACAGGTATCTTTTTTTTAAAGGTACAGAGGTCGCTGGTGCACCTGATGCACATCAGTGTTGCCCAGTGTATTGTTTAAAAAATAGTCTCATTTTTTACAAATTATTTTTTCCCTCACGAACAGGCCCAGCTGAAGGGAGTAAGTTATAAGAATATATATACAAGGACAAGTTCTAAGGTAAGGATTAATAAAAGCACTTCACTCTGGGTGGTGGAGGAGTTTTGGTGTTGTTTTTATTTAATATTTTTGTTTTGTAGTATCTTCATTCTATACAGAAAATGTTTGTTTTCTAATCTGGTCCCATGTGGAGACAGGATTCCTGCTCCTGCTTTACATTTCAATATGCCTGTATCCTCCAGGTGAGAGACCTCGCATCCCTTGGCCAGTGCAGTGGAGAGGAGTAGGTGTGTCAGGTGTGTTATATCCCTTCAGGTTTGCTCAGAACRAGCACCCTCGACAGCAAAGCTTCTTATAAATACTGTGCTCTGGACCCTGAACTCTATAACAGAACTAGTCCACCCAGAGTTCTCCCCCTAGTAAGACTAAAAGATTAACAATGTGCACTAATATTAAGATTATGAACTTGGCAGCTGATCTATTATTATAGATGCCCTTTAATTTTGAAATCACAATTAAAATAATGCAGGACTAGTTTGGGATTCCATTATGAGATGCTGTTTCTTTATCTTTGCTGCTGCAGAGGACTGTTCGTTGCTATCTTTTTTTTTTTTTTTTTCAGTAGAGCATAAGCTTAGAAAGATGACAGAAATAGGTACAAAAATAAAGCAATGTGTTTTTCCTGTTCCCTGAAATGAGCTTAGGTTCTCCTTTACTTGTAAAGTGTGGTTGGAACTGGCTTGGTGTTGGTGTCTGAATATCTCCCCTGTGCAGAGTAATCTATACTTCCTTTCAGGAAAGCGTAACCCGTTATTAGGTTTACCAGATTATTGCAACTATTCCCCTGAGCAATGTCAAAAGAAAGGAATAAAATCTGTAGGGGTTTGCAGAGCTGGAAGAAAATAAATTCTGAGTAAAATGACAGCTTTAATTTTTATATGCTCATCTTACTGTGAATTGACTTCTGCTTTCCAAAAGAAAAATGCCATGCCCTTACACTTAGTGTAGACAATAATGAAATCGTCTGAGATCATAAGATTTTCCTACCCTATTTTTAGACGCTGGCTAAAACTATGGGAATACAGATGTACCGTGGAGTAAACAAGCTGTAGGGATAACTGCTGACATGAATAAAGTGTACATCTGCATTTGCTTACTATAGGGGCATGGAGTGTGTGCAGTGATTTCCATAGGCTCAGCGAAGGTTGAGGGCTTGTATCCTCCATTACACCAGGGCTACTGCTTCACCCGCCCATTTCCCAGTTTAGGTACCCCTGAAGTTCTCTAGCACTGTCTGTTAAGGCTTTGTATATTCATGAATTGCACTGAGGGGTCTTAAATCACTATAAACATCTCTTACCAGTTAATTTTACAGAACAATTAGACTGGCACAAGCATCCACACTGATACTTGAATTGCTTTGATAAAATTGTCTTTTTGTTTTGTTTTAAAGGTGATGGAGGGAATTGGGACATGGGCTGGTTTCCTTAACACACTTTAAATGGCAACTTTCATATTCTGAACCTTTCACAAGAGAGAATGCTTAGCATTTATGTGTATGGGTGTATTTTTTATAAATATGAATATTGTGAGGGAAATTAATTTGAGCATTAGCTTTTAAAAATGGAGTATATATTTGTTATATTATATATATACAATATGTACAGTGCAATGTATGTTTTGTGAGTGTRTATATATATATTTGAGTGGAAAATATATTTGCATTGGAAAGTTGCTGCTGAGACTGTGATGAGCTAATTCTGYTTGTACATCACTTGAGCAACAAAGGCTTCCCTGGAGCCTGCAGACGAGACTCCTGTTTCTGCCTGGCCTGGCATAGCAGATACATTGTTAAATGCTACATTAAAAAAGGCTACTATTTTATGGAACATAGTGATAACAAAACCACTGCCGCAGTATGATATAGGTCTTGACRTGGAGAGTGCTGAGGCTGTCCATTGGAGACTCTGTGGGGCTTTGTAACAAGATGTGTCCCAGTCTGCAGAGCAGCTCCCAAGCTCTTTCCCTGTGCAAGACTGGCCATGGCAGTCTGAGGCCAGGGATGCCTCTTAGTGGAGCGGTTTGTTAAGTTCTAGTCAGGCTGTGATGGCTCTGGGAACCTGCAACTGCTGCACTTTGAAGCAAAGTCTTCAAACAGCTTGGCCAGGGTAGAAACCAAATAATCAATAGAGAAAACTCCCAGGTACGCAGGTGTGACACTTGGTCACAAAAACAGTGAAAAATTAATAATCACCTGCTATAGCAACTGCTTAGGCAGTGGGAGGAGCAGTGTAGGAAGTGTGTGCTCTTCAGTCCTGAATGGCTTTGTCGTGCTAATGAAGGCATGGAACATTGTCATGGACCAGGAAAGGCTTCTTGGCAAATGTCTCTCCTAGTAGAGAGATTGCTCTTTCCTGGTATCTCAGATTGTGTCTTCTGCTTGTAAAAATCTACCTATATTTCCATCCATGCTGTCAGCTGCTGTTCTGAACTTAAAGAAACTCTAAATATGTAAGAAATAAAATACGGCTGGATGTACCTGCAGAGTACATATTCCTGCACCTTCTGTAGTAGATAAGAGGAAAATAGATAAATCAGTGTTTGACATAAACCAAGGCAGACACTGTATCTAAGAAGATAACATTTCAACACAGAGATATTTAAGTACGTTTTTCTGGCAGTGAATGCAGTGGAAAGAGATCTCAAGATGGTAGATGTAAAACTGACAGTATCCAATGCAACAGAGAGGGAAAAGGGATTGGATTATTGCATATGAACTTGATACCATGTCAAGTTTTTCACTGGCAGTCAACACTGTCTTTGTTCTACATAGTTGACTGTATTTCTAAACAGAGAATGATATAAACAGAGGTGTTATGGGAATGTTAAAATAATAAGACTAAAGATTGCATGTTCACAGTCAGAGTTTGCTGTTGGAGGGGGACATGTTTCCATTTTTGAAACAAAGGGAAGAAGAATAATTAGCACAACATGTGGGATTTTTTCAGGCTTACAGTTTGGAAGGACCAGAAGGAAAATAGACTGTAGTAGGAAAATTGTATTTATTTTTTGCGCTACTTTGGCAGATACCTTTTTTAATGGATCAGTTTTAATGCATCATGTAAAATAGCTTTGCTGGTTAAGTGCAGTTTTCTTTTGGTCTGGAGGGAAAAAGGTAGGAATTATCTTCTCTTTTATTTTACTACTTGTTCCTTGTGTGTTTTTATGATGTAGGCAGGAGAGAAAGCTACTGACCTATGGCTTTGATAACTCCTCCAGTATCCTCTTACAGTGTTCTGCTCTTTAGCTTTTTTGACCCGTTGTGGAGCCATTAACCACTTCTTTCCTCTTCCATGTTGTCAAGAAAAATGTGTTATGATTTTCCTGAGACTTTCCTCTTGTTTGGTCCTGTGTATTTATTTTGTGCCTTTATGGTATCTTACTGCTTAGTGCAGTCCACAATGTCTGTAGGGATGGACTTCAGGAGGGCCTGTTTCATCCCAACCCAGGGATGGGAAGGAGGCAATGCTTTATACTGAAGTGCTTGCAGCACACAATGAGATAGATTTAGATTAGATATTAGGAAGAAATTCCCGGTAAGTGTTCAAGGCCAGGTTGAACAGGTCTTGGAGCAACCAGAGATAGTAGGTGTCCCTGCCCATGGCAAGGAGGTGGAATGAGATGATCTTTAAGGTCTTTTCTAACCCAAACCATTCTATGATTCTATGGCGTGCATGTTCTCCTAAATATAAGCTACTAGCACTTGCCTGCTCAGCAGTGAAAAACTGCCATGTATCTGAAGGTGTGTCTGAACTTTAGAGCGTGATAAAGTGCACAGCAAATTAATTACAGAGAATTTAAAGACTGTTCAAGAAGATGATAGTGTGTTCCTAAGAATGAAAACATAAACTGTGTGTGACTGTGCTTCATGTGCAGTGGTGATATCCCAAGAGAAATCATCTAAATGCTTAAAAGTATTTGCCCTGTAGAGTGCTCTGATACCAGGTCTTTATCAGTTACTCGGGAAATTGAGGCGTTTCTAGACTTTGTCCTAAAAGGCGTATCAAAAACCCAACAGGACGCAGCTAATAATCTGCTATCACTACTGCTAAATTCATAATAGAGCATTATCAGGCATTTTATCCTAATGCCTAGCTTATGCTGTCGACAATGCCTAGGGCACATCACAGAAATCGAACTGCATTTAGCCATGTTAAAGTAATCCATCGAGCTCTGTGTACTCTGCTGGAAGGGATCATCACGCCATGCAGTCATGTGCTCCAAAACACTCTGCACAAAATGAGCTGGTTGCTTTCTAATGCTAAATGGAGTGTTTAATTCCAGCTCTGAAACACATCTGCCCCAGGGAGGGGTGGCAAAGCACATCACTGAGGCTGTACAAGTGACAAACTGCTTCTGATAARGAGGTGTTTGGGTGCAGGGGGAACAGTGGTGTCAGTCTTCTTTCCAAATCCATGTAGCAGAGATGTGAAGGTGTGCTGCTCTAAGTCCAGTATTGGGAAAGCTGCAGGATGCAGTGAAATACTGGGGGGAAGATGGGAAAGCTGCCTGCCAGTTGTCTTTTGTTCTGCAGTTACAGCTGCCTTGCTGTGTTACTTTGTGCTTCTGTCAGACTTCCCTTTAGGAAGCAAACATCTCAGAGGTGATTAAGTATCCTTCAAGGATGGAATTTGTCTACTCATACTTTTGGGCTTAATTCCCTCTAACTGGGAAAAGGGCTACTAGTAAGCAGTCTTGAGGAAGCAGTTCTCATTATCTCTTCGTCTGCCTGCTGTACAGATTAGTTTAACAAGGCTACGAAAAAGAGTAAATTTGAGCTTTTTCCCTGCCTACAACATTTCTCAGAAATACAAACAGCAGACAATATGCTGCGGGTCTTGAGGACTATATCACTGTAGGTTTGAAGGGTAGCAATAGGGAATATGTGCTTTCTGTTAGCACGTTATAAAAACGCCTGCCATAATGTTGGTTGTTGGTATCTAAGTATCTGTGCAGCACATAGGAAAGAGCTGAATTCAAGGTGGTGTAACTGCCCATGGACAAGATGATAAATTTAATTCTCAAAGTTTGGTAGTTCCTGTTATAGAGCAGCTACACTAGATTTAAATGAAGTGTCTTAAGCTTTTAAACTGTAGTCAGGCTTTCAGTACACAAAGTTGCAAGAATACCTAAATGGAATGGAGGACAAGGATCTCCTGATTAATTATAGCTTGGATTTTTTAGGACACTCCTTTGTGCTTATTAAAAGCAGTGTCAAATTATGTAATCTCAGGTTTTAAGCAAAGTTGGCATTTATGTTTAATAAGTTTAGACTGTAAATATTTCACTGTTGTAGAGTATTCCATGTACTCTCAATTTGAAAAAAGTGATTGTCCTCTGGGTTAGTTGTAGTTCAGATATTTCAGTTTGCTAATTCCTGCAGTTTGGAAAGAGAAAACAACCAAACAAAAAAAGTCCTTTAATGATAAAATAATTACTTTAAATAATAAAAATATTAAAGTTTCTCTCAGCCATTTAATCCTTAGTAAAACTGTAGCCTTATATTCCCCATACTGAAAGTAAGTAATAATTCTTCTGCTGATGTGTTTTTAGACACTTGCGTGGAATTTTTCTTCAGAGGCAGTATGGGAATTTGCCTGTCACACTTGGCTGCACTGCTGTGTATTTTATACAGATTCAGACAGCTTTCAGCAGTTTTCTGAAAGCAGCCCCAAAGACAATGGGAAGAGCTAAGAGAATTAAATGGAAAATGTGGCTAGACTAGCAAACTAAATATTTCCTGAAAATTCAGTCAGTAGCTTGAAGTCGTGCCAGTTACCATGGTCGATGTTTGGGTTTGAATTGTAATGATTGCTTGCCTGCTTCAGAGTTTAAGCTTAACCTTGAAGAAGCTTTCACCTGTGCTGCAGCCATTGTTGGCAGATCTTCAGTGTGCATTCTTCTAGTTCTACTTCCATTTGTGTACTTGTTTTTTTATTTATATTGCACTGACCTGAAAAGCTCCATTATAAACAAATAAATCTAACCATCTACAAATTGTGGGGCAGGTACTAAGAAGAAAGCTCTTTCTCCTGGCTGTGTTAATTCCTGCTTTTTTTAAGCATCGGTCTGATTAGAAAGGATACTGACTGCTTACCCTAAATACAGAACTTTGAAGCTTTGCAACTGCTCAGAGAAGCAGTGGCTGGCCTATTCCTAGAAGTRTCCAAAACCAGGCTGGACAGGCCTTGGAGTAACCTGGGATAGTGGAAGGTGTCCCTGCCCATGGCAGGGGGTGGAATAAGATGAGTTTAAAGTCCCTTCCAACCCAAAACATTCTGTGATTCTATGGTTGTTATGAATAATGCATTTTTGCTAATTTTTACAATGCCCTTACAGTTCTGTGCTGACACATAGTAGACAGCATTTCAGTTCTATGCAGTTCAGGTGCTTATCCATCCTTTTGTCCCCATCTCCAATTGGAGGGTATTTACCACAACATGATGCTGACTTCTATAAAATTACTTCAGCAGAAAGAAAAGCGGTTTGCTGTAATAAGAGTCTGTAAATAAGTCTCTCTGCCTGCCTGTAGCCTTATTTTTATACAAACATTTCATTTGAAAATGCTTTTTCTCTTCTGCCTTTGTCTTACCCCTCCCTAGTATGTATGAGAGAGGTAATTTAGATGACTATGGAGTTTGTGACACAACTGCACTCTCACAAGGGCATCCTCTTAATTTTACTCCCTAACTGAAACTCCAGCCTCCCTCTCAATACAAGGTGGACTGCCTGCTTATTTCCTTGTGGTGGGAGGGATGGGCAGGAGACAGCCCTGACTCACTGGCGCTTGACTAGTGAGGGCAAGACATATTCTGTCTCCTCTTCCCAGAAGCCCCAAGTTAAACACTGCTCTTTACATGATTGCCCAAAGTGAGAGAGCTTGCCCAGCAGGAGGGAGGGAGGAAGATTCAGAAAGAGTAGAGGAGGAGATGAAGGTTAGCTAGAATTTTCCTGAGATTTCTTGGGCTCTTCTCCTTTGGCAAGTAAATCCTCCATTTGAGGCCTGCTGGCCTACAGTAGCTGCTGGCATGGTGTCAGGAGCTATGCACCATTACACTGAAGCACACAAGTTCTGTTGGTTTTGCAAGCACAGTTAAGAGCTGGTCATGCTCTGGCAGCCTTGATGATGACCAATTGCTTTGCTGTCACTTTTTATTGCAGCATTTAGAGCTGTGAAAATTGTAAGCAGCCAGGACTACTTGCAGACCCTGCAGATTTATCCCAGCCAAAGTATGTGTAAAACTGTAAGCTCAAATTAAAACTTCTGACAGTCTGACTGTCATCCGCTAGCCACAGAGTTCTATGAATTTCTGGAGCATATGCACATCAAATTAATTTGTTTCTGGAATAGGCAGTAATGGCTAGAGTGAGAAATGGCTTTTTATACAGCCTCTAAATATGCCTGTATGTCTTAGAAAATAAGACAGGAGAAGGAAGTTTACAGGGAATAAAAAGAGACAACCAAGATGAATCTGGGTGTCTTAGAAGTTATCTTGTATGATGGACATTTTACTTAACCCTCCCTAATATAAATCTAAGCAGCTCCCAAGGGATGGTGGCAGAAGGTGGAAGTGTGGTGGAGATTCCAGCAAGGCACAGGGCAGTGATATTTTCTATGTTGAATTGTCCAGGATCAAAATGTTTCATCTCCCCATTCTTTGGCCACTGCAAAGTCAGATTAAATTTCTCTTCCACACAAGGACCTTATTCTAGGGTTTGAATTAAAAATAATGAATGTTTCTGTGATTCCCAGGTGGAGAATGACAGAAAAATGTTAACTTCCCTGGAGCTGACGTTGGCTCTGCAATGGACTGGTGTCCTGCTGTTACTGCATCTCCAGGAAACACATGCTCAGCTCACACTGAGACCCCACAGCTGAACCTTGTAAGATATTTCACTTTCAGAGCTGGAGTCAAGAAAATGTGTTGCCTCCTTTAATTACAATCTGAAAATTAATTTCAGATGTGGAAGAATGCAACAAAAAGAAATAGTGAGCATATCTATATTGCTCTTATACTATAAGAAAGATGATCCAAAACCAGTCTTCTTTTTATTTAAAAAAAAAAATAATTAAATATGGTAGAGAAGAGCCATCCAAAAGCCTGCTCTGAAAGGCGTCTGTATGTTGCTGACAAACTTTTAAAAGAGGAGTTAAATTAGGGACTTCCAGCATATGATTGGAAAATCCCCAGGTTAGCATTTACTCAGAATCTAAAACTCTCTGGATTAAATGTATGGCTGCTTTCCSTGGTGAAGCTAAGAGGATGAGATCTCTTGTCTTGATGGTATACCTATCTTAGGAGCTTCAAATCATTTTAAAGCACCTGATTTATGGAAGAGCATGCTGATAAATGTCAAGTTTCATGCATTTTTCAGTCTGTTTATACAGGAATGAGTAAGGGTTCTTGGAAGCCTTTCAGTAAATCTTGTCATTGATTTAACCTTGCTATATAACGTCTTAATTGGACAAAACGGTTTTGTAGGCCTGTTGCATTATATGGGGACTGTCTGCCTTGGCAGAGTGTGCAGCATTCACAGCCATGTTCCCAGCTTCAGTCCAGCACTGAGGGCACATGGGCAAAGGTTCCAGCAATGGGCAGATAATGCTCCACTGCTGCGATAGTGGAGTTTATTATATCTCCCCTTCTGGTTTTACACTGACTGATTAAAGCTGGTTCAGGTATAGCCTTTAGTGGTCACAACCCCACTGGCTGCTGGGACACAGGTGTACTCTGAACCTGGAGCCAGCTGGTAGATCAGGTAGATGTGGTATGAGGCATTGGAGGTCAGAACCTGATGTTTCAACTCCTAGTGCTATCACAAAGGTGTCTGTGGCATCTCCARTGCGAGACTTGATGTGTGCCTTGTGCCAGGACGTGACCAGCGTCCAGAGCAGCACTGAGAAAATGTAAATGTTTTAATGAAGGTGTTTGAAGCTGACTTGACCCTGTACTGCAGTCAAGAACCGCTGTTTTCTCCTACACAAGTCTCTCTTCTGGCACTAACAATGATCAGGCTGACTGTAGAGTTGCACGCAGAATCGCTGAGGTTGGAAAAGACCTCTAAGATTGAGTCCAACCTTTGGCCATCACCTTGTCAACTAGATCAGAGCACTAAGTGTTATAGCCAATAATTTCTTGAACAATTCTAGGGATGTTTCTTGACTACTGTTCAAGGACAGTGACTCTACCACTGCCATGGACAGCCTGTTCGAATGTCTGACCACCCTTTCCATGAAGAAATCTTACTTATCCATTGGAAAATAAAATTTGTACCAGATTAATAGAATCATCTCAGTGACTGTGTGGTCACACAAATGCTAGTAGCAGCACAAAGAAAACACAAAGACTAAGAGGACATGGCTGTCGTTAGGAGCTCTGTATCTCTTCTCACTGGCCACACAGTCTCAGAACAGCAAAAATTACTTGTGAGACTTCATCCTTGTAGTATAAGTTTCACTTATACTTCCACAGAGAATTGAAAAGAGAGATTGCAAATTAAACAGTCTTTGCAATATACTTTTTTGCGGTGAGAGTCTTCTGTTCCCTCAAGTAAGATATTAATATTAAGGTCCATGCCTCAGCTTGAACTTTCAGTTAGGGAAATTAGTTTCCTGGGGAGATGTCCTCAGGATCAGCCTCTTGGCTGGCCATTGACCAATTACTGCAGTAGGAGTTACTGACAGAACGTAAGAAAAGTTTGGCTTAAAAATAAAAAGGCTTCTTTAATTTTCTTTGCTTTAGAAAACAGCTTTGCCATTGCAAGAACAAGAATGCATGCATATGTCTTCATAAGGAAAATAAGAGATTATCTGTTACTCAARCCGCTGGTTTTTTACTTTTTTTTTGCAGAAAAATCCAAGAGTCTGTCAATGACTAACTAAGGTCTCCATTCTCATGATTTATGTGATTTGCTTCTCCTGGAGCCATGGATGAATACGGCCGCTTTGTGGACTGGGACAAAATGGATGTGAGTGCCCAGGGCCAGAATACAAAAGAGCTCACCTGCACAGACTTCCATGAGCTCAAGCAGCTGGCTAGGCAGGGCTACTGGGCCAAAAATCACTCTCTGAGAGCCAAAGTGTACCACAAACTCATCAGCAATATCCCGTGCCGCACAGTGACCCCAGATGCAAACGTGTACCGGGACATCGTGGTGAAGATTGTTGGAAAACGCAGCAGCAGCTCCCTTCCACTGCCCGAGTTCGTGGACAACAGCCTGATCCCCACGTACTGCCTGAATGCGGAGGGCATTGGGGCCGTCAGAAAGATCATTCTGTGCATTGCAAATCAGTTCCCAGACATCTCATTCTGCCCAGCACTGCCCTCGGTGATCGCGCTGCTCCTGCACTACAGCAAGGACGAGGCCGAGTGCTTCGAGCAGGTCTGTCGCATCCTGGCTTGCAATGACCCATCCAAGAGACTCATCGACCAGACCTTCCTGGCCTTCGAGTCCTCCTGCATGACCTTCGGGGACCTGGTGAACAAATACTGCCAGGCAGCCCACAAGCTGATGGTGGCAGTGTCCGAGGATGTGCTGGAAGTGTACTCAGACTGGCAGCGGTGGCTCTTCGGAGAGCTGCCCATGGTGTACATTGCACGGGTCTTCGATGTGTTCCTAGTGGAAGGGTACAAAGTTCTCTATCGTGTTGCGCTGGCCCTTCTGAAATTCTTTCACAAAGTCAGAGCTGGACAGCCCATGGAATCTGACAGTATCCAGCAGGACATCCGAGCTTTTGTGAGGGAYATCGCCAAGTCGGTGTCCCCAGAGAGGCTCCTGGAAAAAGCCTTTGCTATCCGCCTCTTCTCTCGGAAGGAGATCAATCTCCTGCAGATGGCCAACGAGAAGGCTTTGCAGCAGAAGGGCATCACAGTCAAACAGAAAAGGTAGGGCTCAGCACAGGTAACCTGAGCAATTTGCCAAGTTTTCCCAGTATATGGAGCAGTCGGGCAACCCKGGGTGACTGGTGGGGAAGTTCCACTGATGCATGCTGGTGTCTGCTGGTGCATTTTCTCTGCAGAAACAGTCAGCAACTCCAAAATCAAGCATTGCTGGGATTGTGGTGGATAGTGTAACTGAAGTGTTATGATGCAAGAGGAACAGAAGTTTCTTGGAGCTTGCTCAGTAATGAATTTATACAAGTGTATATTAATTAGTGTTATATCTCAAATGTATATTTCATAAGCAGTTTTTAAACTAAAAGGCATTTTAGCAATGTTGGAAAAAACTGATAAATTACTTGGGAGAAATATACCTACAAAAATGTGAGAATTTATTCTTAAATATGAGATTTTTACAAAATATCAATTTGATGCTGCCCAGTAGTGTGAATTCAGCAAATTCTTTAGTGTAAGGCACTGTCACAACTGGGGACATTTTGCACAACTGAGGAACTATTTTAAGAAAGCAGGGAAGAAATAATTCTTATTTACAGGTTACTTTTTAAATTAATTTGACTGAAGCCTCCTGGAAGTCAAGAGTATCATATTCAGAGTAGGAGCTGACCTGTTTTGTGACAGATTCATGTACTATTAGAAAAAATAATTTTGAAAGGACCACAGAAGAGTGGATACAGATCCAAGAAATGATTGTGTAATCACAAGGTCTTCTCAGAAACACTGGGAGGAAGAACCAACTCTGGAACTAGTGAATGAAATAATGAAATCCCGTTCTGATGTGACARTAAAAGTCATTCTAATAAAAATCTTAGCTGAAAGGCCTCTCCATGGATATAGAAAAGGCAGCAATGTATTAATTTAAACAAAATTTGCATCTTACCAAGTGCAAATGTATGTGCAAGTAAGTGGTGCATGTTGTTTTTCCAGAGGCCTCTGACAGCAGAAAATTTGTCCCAACCATTTTTGAACTCTTAAGTGTAGGACAGTTTTAAGAGCTGCCCTGCATTCTGAAGAGAGGTGACTTCTAAAAGTCCCCTGGGTCAGTGAGTGTGATATCTAGAACTTGGTATTCTAGAGGCACTGTCTCATTTTCTCTAAATCTCCACTGATATTGTGGGATCTTTGAGCCAACTGCATTGCTGAGTTAGTTGTTGCAAATAGATACCATTCCATGGTATGGAAATACATACTCAGTACATTTCAGCCTAAAAGATAACATAAATGTTAGCTGGACCTCCATGTGTCTAGATACACGTAAAGCTCCCCCTGGTCTCTTCCAAGGGTTAATTTTTTAGACTCACGGCTTGGTTTACAGTGAGCTTCAGCATTTTCCTGTGAGTCTCAAATATTTCAGAGCCTTTAGCCACTGGATTATCACACTCAGGACACTCCAGACCACTCTATTTGAGACTTGTAAACAAAATACTGACTCCCCCAATGTGTCTTCTCTTCCTGTTGGGAGGTTTGGGAGAGTTGTAATATCCTTTCTGAGTATATTCTTTCCAACAGAATGAGAGCTTTAAATGACAATAAAATTTAAAATATAATTTAAACCAAAGAAAAAGAAAACATACACCAACCAACCACAGAAACGCCAAAAACTCCTGCTGTGTTAAAAGTTGCAGAGAAATTCTCACTGACAAGTGATGCTTTCAAAGCAAAATACAATAAAACACCCAAATAAAGCCTGTAATTACTTGCCTATTTATCATAATTGCTTTTCCACTGGAAAGTCATTCTAATAAAAAATACTCAGGGCAGTCAACTATTTGATTCCTTAAAGGTGTGGGGGTGTGAAATTAGTTACTGCTATGCCAGGCAGGGTTGCTACTGAAAAATATCCATCCTCACTTGGCTACTTTTGTAAACCCACTGAAACTTTTCAGAGTCCCCAGTACTGCTGGCAGCGTGGCTCAGTTTGGGTCCTAGTGGGGCAGATGGAAGTGCAGGAGAAGTGAGCTGTTCTCCAGGGCTCCACGGGATGCCAGTGAGTTCTCCAGGTGTGGCTGGCCTGTGCAAGGAGAAGATGATTTATTTTCCAATCACTTAACATAAAAAGGGGGAAAACAGGAATATAAAAGTTTTAGCCTGTCTGATTGTTTTTCATGCTTGGTGACTCAAATCAAGCCTTGCTTTGTTTCATTCCAGACTCCTTTCACTCACTTTGTCACAGATGTAGGAAGTCACTGATCTTTTTTATCTTATTTTCTTTCTCCTTGTATGTTCTGCTTCTGTCCATTCCATCTCCACTGCACTCCTCCTGTTTGCAGTCTTGTACCTTCCAAAAGGTAGGTTAAAAAACTTGAATCTTTGTACTTTGCTCATCCTACTCTCTTTGGCTTGTTTTTTTTTTGTTTGTTTTTTTTTTTCCCCAAGGCTGTCATGTATTGCTAAAGTTGTGACGGAAGAAACAGGGCAGCAGTCATAGCCCCCAATTGCTCTGCCACATCTCCTGAATAGCCTCCTTCAAAGTTAGTTCATAACACCTGCAAAGCTGTAAGAGAAGGGATTGTAGGCCAAGGAGTCAGCACAGAACTGCAGACAGCAATACATCTGTGTTTTCCAGAGTGGGTAAGAGYACTGTACATGGTGGCATCATGGTTATGGCTTTAAAGGGCCATTATAATAATAATCGTTTTTGCATTGGAAGAAAAAGTGTTACATTTTTTTGAGAACATCACAAGTAACAGCTCAGAAGAGCTGTTTGATATCATCCCACTTCCTAACCTGGGTATATGCTGTTGCATTAGATGTGAAACATAGTCAGCTTTTTATCTTCTTTGGAAGCTTTCTGTGGTTAACTGGAAAGATTTTGGACTGACCCAAATTTAGCACACTCCTAAAAGTGATCTGTCTCTATTCACTGTAGATTATATTTATTTGTATATTTATTTTTAAGTAGGTTGGGGTTTTTTAGAGTCGAGAAGACAAGACTCTTTTTCTGTGTCAAGGTCAGTTATTCAGCCGTAGAGCATTAATGGTTAATGAAGTCATTCATCAAGTCTTGGCCTGAAAAGTAAATCTTAAAGAACAAAACCCAGTGAATGGATTGTGATACCTGATAAGCAGAGAACTTGGAAAGAGGAGAGCTGCCCTGTATTAAATACCACAGATGTTTGGGTTTAAATTCATGCCTTTGAAAATCCTCTGGACTTGCTGCAGTTGCCCTGAGTTAACTTTAGTGAGTGATGCATACTAACATTTGTACTAATCTATAAAATCCAAGTTGGAATTAACTTCCTCATGTTTTTGTGTTTGAAAGAACAGCAGAAGAGACTTATCAAAGCATATTTCATGCCATAGCTTCTGTGCTGAGGATTTTACCTCTAGTAAATCAGCAGACTGTTAACTCCAGTCAAGTGAATCTTCAGCATCTATGTATTATTTAGTGCAGTTAGGTTGTTCTGAAAGCAGCAGAAAGCCTTGATTTATACTAGGAAACAGACTGGATTTGAGGAAACTTGGGGAGATGCAGGGTGTCTCTTGACACTGATCTTGATGCAGGTTTCAGTTTTATATACCACAAATTACTTATATTGCTGTTTTTAACTAAAAAAAAAAAAAGAAATCTCCTTCTACAATTATGCCCTCACTGAAATTATAATGGATTTTAAAGGTAATGCAGCTCCTCTAAGATTTGACCCAAGCCAGAATACAGTAGGAAGATGAAATTCAGTGAGTAACCTTTGGAGTTAGGTTATTAGTGTTATTTGTTGAATAGTACAGGACACACTGTGACAGCTGCTACTGCACGTCCTTAACCTTGGCTTTACCTTTGGGAACTTTGAGGTCTGTGCAGCACATTGCATTAATGATGTAGCTGGAAAAACAGCATTCCTATGAAATTAACAAATGCTGCTTTAGTAAACATTAATTGTAGTGGTTTTCAAATCTACTTCCTTTGAAATAAAATCAGTTGAACAAGTCTTACCAGCATCAGCAATCAAGAAAAAGTTGTCATTCTGATCCCAATAACTGAGGAAAACACTAATGCAGAGTAAAATCTTCCAGATTTGTTCCGTTCTAGTGGTAGACTTTAAAGCTGTCCAAATTCACTGTTCTCTCAAGCTGCAGTGTTTTTATAGATAACCCTGAAAGGAGTGCAGTGGTAAAGGCTAAACTTAATTTTCCTCAATAAATATAAACCAAAACATTTGGAGTTTTTCTTAGCCCACTTGTGTTCTGTTTATTTTCACTCATTTACTACTTTGTAAAGCAGCTGCCAGACTGAAGGAGATGATTTTCAGTGTCATTAGATAAATGCTGTCGAAAAAAGAGAATTAATACAGGTTAGATAGTTGTAAATAGTTGCAATTTTCTAGCACTCCCAAAAGAAGTTTCATTTTTGCTCAGCAGCATGGAGTTTGGTTTGATAGACACAGGCTGTGTGTGGACACTTCTCAACACAGGGTCAGGTTTCATTTTCAAATACCTGCAACTGTGATTTGTTATTGGGAAATAATAGGTTATTGTGTTGCACATCCTTTGTCCATGTCCTTTGGTTTAGCTAGATGGTGACATTAAATGTAAAATGATTTACCGTGATATCCAAAGGGCAGGAATTGTATGCCTAGTAGTTTTAAATGKCAATACGGTGGTAAATGCTTTCTAGTATATTGGAAAGGTCTCTCTGAAAAGGTGATTCTTCATACATGGGAGAGTTGTGGGAAGACACAGGGTATTGAAAGGGATGTGTTCAGAATGCTGCTGAGCACAGGCACAGGCTTTGAGTGGGGTTTGGTAGGAAAGTCTTTAAATCAGCAATTCTGAGTAGCCAGAAAAAGGAACAAAGGCAAAAGCAAAGATACCATGAGTGTGAGAGCATTTTAGAATAAAGAACTGAAGTTTGGTTACCCAAACAGCTCACAGAAGTGTGAAAATGTACAGACCAGGTATACAAATAATTCTGAGGCTTGCTTGAGGTATAAGTTTAAACCTGTTTTGGTATTTATTAGCTCCTAGCCTATTTGTCATCATTGCTTTTCCACTGGAAATTCATTCTAATAAGCAGTTGACTTTTACTTTTTTTTTATACTTGAATACTTTTTAATTCCTTAAATGGGGGGGGAGGGGGGTTGCGAATCTTAATTTCTGCTGAACTGAAACCAAGGCTTTGTCTCTCAGTGCTGTTCCATAGTGCCACCAGTTTTAGCTGCAGACCTGACAGGACATAGAGGGTGAGACCTAAAGTAAGATTCTGGAGATATGGGTTCAAGGCTTGGCTCATACTTTGCTTCAGTGTTTAAAACTACTAAAACATACTCACTTTGCTGTGTTTAAAACTACAAATAATGTCCCTGGTCAGTGATACTGTAAGGTTTTAAAGACTTACTTTTAAAGTATCACTGTAAAGATAGTAGATAGTTTCAGCTGGCTTAAATAGGTGCCTACAGAATTTCTTGGCATTAAATGTTGCAAGGTAGCAATGCAAAGAGTGATTTGATTCATTTGGCTAAAAGAAGCAGTAATTTCAGTAATTTTTTTAAGTGACTGAGGAGTCACTTCATTTGAAATGCTGACCCTAAGACAACTACAGTGAATTCCAGAAAACTGTTCCCAATGTCTCCAAGCAAGCACTGCTCTGAAGAACAGTGCAAATGCCGCTGATTTCTTGGTATTACAAGCATAAAAAATAAAATACATATATATATTGTGTGTTTTGGGGAGTGAGCTAAGCTATCCAGATCCATGCAGATGTACAGTATTGAGGGCCCCTTCATGATCATGAAACTGAGAGGAAAGAAATGTCTAATTGTACAAAAAAAACCCATCAGAAATAGTCACGTACTTGCACCCAAACCCTTTCATGCAGAGCAAAGTGATAAAGCTTTATTTAACACCTGGCTGCCCAGTAATTCAGTGACTTGTGTAAGTTCTGTGTCCTTGGCTGTCACCATTGCGTTTTAAGCATTTAACATAGATCATGGAAGCAAATAACACTGGTTTAATTCCCAGGCTCTGTTTAATTGGAGAAATGAAGTTTGAGATGGTGATGATTGTTACCTTCAAGTGTTTAATATCTATGATTCAATTCTTGTAACTGTATCAGACCCCTCTGGGTGGTACAGAGATTTCCTTCCCAGTGTCAGTGTCTAGCATTCCTTAATATTCTCAGGCTCGGCCTATAACCATGATCTCAATGAGGTGGTCATCTCTTAATGAGGTGCTCATTGATAACGACATGTTTCCAGGAGGTGGAACTTTTCAATAGCTTCAAGTATTTGCCTTGGATTAGAATTACTTACTCTGGTAATACTGATTCCTCTAAAGTTTATGAGGGTTTTAGGAATTCCCTAATCCCATGATACAGGCAGGACCTCAGAGGTGGAGAAAATACAACCCCTTCCGCTCAGATCCTGGCCCTTTTTTTTCTCTGTGCTTAAGTACAAGTGCCAGTGAGACAGTCACAAACAGTAAATATAATTTTTGTTACTGAAGGCCATGGCCATTTTTAGTGGTTCAGTGTTGTGTCCTCTGTGTGTAAAGGTGCAGGTCTCAGCTCCTATACAGAGGAACAGGTATTTCAGTCAAGCCAGATCTCTGCCTCCGAGGATTACGTTAAATTGCAGTTGTTTATTATCTTCACTAGGTCACGGCCTTCTAATCGCTTGGGCTGGAGCTTTGACCAATAACTTATTTACTGGAGTCTGTTAGTGTTCAGTTGTCTTCTCATGTTCCAGTCCAGTAATCCAAAACTTGTTAAATTATTGCTTCTCAGTGTTTTGTGTTGTATTTCTCAGGCAGAATGTGCACTTGGCAGTTCATGCTGAGAACTTCAAGTCAGAAATTGTCAGCGTGAAGGAGATGCGGGATATCTGGTCGTGGATCCCAGAGCGATTTGCACTGTGCCAGCCTCTCCTGCTTTTCACCACCTTGGAACATGGCTGTAGTCTGAGCAGGTAAGGAAAACTTTCCTCTCTCTTCTCTATGGCAGGGCASGAAGCAGCAGCTGGATTGACAAAAAGTCCATGCTTAGTCAGAACTTGATCTGAAGAGCATGATTGGTGATGGGATAAAAATGTGACAAATTCCAGTTGCCTACAGCATTTAACTGGGATATTTCCTATTCCAGAACATTCTAGACTGTTCAAGATCAGTTGGAAAAGTCAAGCTTGGATCAGTTCACAGATTCTGCTGATCTGAGTCTGGTTTCTTAAGGGGTTGAATAGTTTGACTCAGTGCCTCCTCTGCAAGCACTTTTTATAGATAACTACATTCAGACTGACCCAAGGAAGAAGAGAACTGGAAACTCTATGTATTGATCTGTTGGTTTTATTTTTTAAGTGGGATAAAATAGATAGGAGTTGTCCTTGCACTGGGCACAGAAGACTGTAACACCATAGCTTTTAGTGATGACTTTGCCATCAACAGTTGAGACACTGAGGCAGGGAGTGATCTGCTTTCCCAGCCTCATGTGTTAATGAAGAAGAGCAAACACAAGCAAAGAGAATGCATTGATGCCTAAATGTAGCATCAATGCCCTTAAGAAAGCTAAAGCCCTTGACACGTGGCCATCTATCCTCTAGGCTGTTTTACAATCCTTTAGGTTGTTTTAATTTAAAATGCTGTAAAATGCTGCAGTTGATCCAGCTAAACTTCTAGGTATTCTGCAGAGACATAAATTGTACATGGAACTGTGTAGAGAACAACTGCTTGATGCTATCCATTTACACTCAGCTGTGTTATTTACATGGGCTGTATAAAGTATTTGCAGGAATGTTCTTAGTCTTCAGATGGCTTTTTTTGCCATGGTATCAGTTGGAAGAGGAGGCAGTGCCTGACATTGGGGYGGAAAGCAGTTGGTGGCAGTAGAGTGCTCACTTTTTCATGCTCTGCACTTCAGGTTCTATTCCCACAGCGAGGGACATGARCCAACTCTGCTCCTTATCAAGACAACAGCAAAAGAAGTGAGTGAGATGAAAGACAAGTGATTAAATTGGGGTTTGGGCAGTGTGTAATGCTGTATTGAAACACACAGCTGTTTATAATAAAATTAATAAGGAAGGTTTGGCTTTGTTTTTTCAACAATCCATGCTGTATATTCTTTCATTTGTTTGTTATATGACTATGCATTCTTGGGTAGACCTTACAAACTAGGTCTTGGTTGACAACTTTTGCTCTTGCAAGTGGTGTGGGTTGATGGACTAGGGTAGCTCATTCTGCCCTTGGACAGACTCTGAATTGCAGAACCAGAGGGGCAGGGTGGGAATTGTGCTAAACTTATGAGTCATGGAAGATATTTTCATTTTGTCAATAATATGTGGAGAGGAAATAGCAGAATTTAAATGGTATGAATAATGTTGGACTACATAATGTGAAAACACAAAAGCCTTAGCTTCCCAATCATTCTTGATTGGGCAAAAATAAGCCAAGGAAGCTCTGAGAACCTGAGGAGGAGTGCACACCAGGTGCTTTATCACTGCTCTGCTGTGTGTGACAATATTGGACAGCATAATGTGAAAACAGCAATGTGCTTGTTTAAAACATTAATACATAAAACAATCTCTTCCCAGAACCTTCTCAGGAGGGCATACAAGTCCTTTCTTGTAGTGTTCTTAGTTGTCTGTGCCACTGTACATGACATCTCAATATTCTGTATATAACATTAATCTGTTATTGCAGTCTGTGGGCTTTATTCCTGCCTGTATCTCTGCAGGATGCTGGCCATGAACAAGCCCATTTCTCCTATTATTTGCATCTACTTAACCCTCACCCTCCAGGCCATTTCATCGTTTTGCAGGTTGTTTCTGGCCATCCAGGCCTGTATTGAGATGCCAGTGGCTTATGGAATGCCCATGGGGTCTAAAGGGTAGAGGGGGGAATAATTATTTTGCTTCTTGTCCTGGAGCCTGTCAAAAGTCTGGCTTTGTAAGGGATGCTGGTTTTTATAAGATGGTTTGTTTCTTCTAAGGAAGCATGTATTAGCAAAACAAAAAAGTAGAAAAATATTATTTAATTCTAAATTTAAATCTAAATTTAGATTTAAATCTAAATACAGATTTATCTATATAAAAAAATCTGGTCTTCAGTAATTTTATCCTAGGACCTCTGCTTGTAATGCTCATGGAAGCTAAACAGAGAATGTACCTTAGAACAGTATAATCAGAATTGCTTTTCTGGTTCCTGGGGGTTCTTGGGATGCTTTCATCCCACTCTTAGAGCTTCGTTGTTCCTCTGTATGCACATGGCAGGGGTGTGTATTGCTGATAGCAAAAAATTATTCTAATACAGAAGGCTGCAGAGACCAGGTCAGCCCTTGGAGGGTGTTTCTCTTTATTGGAGACTAGTGGCCCCCATGTGGTTTGACTGTCTGCTCTAAATGTCTGAGCTAGTTCAGCTTTGGCTTAGCTACTTTGGCTTTAACCTTCCCTTTGAAATGTAAGGAAGCCAAGACCACTGTTTGACCAGAAAATATTCAGGCACAAAATATTCAGGCAGAGCTGCTCCTACTGTAGCTCGGGACAGCACTGCTGCTTTGGGTGCCAAAGTGAGGGAGTGGGAATCAGGCTGTACAGTGATTTGTGCTTTGGTACCTGGAGTTCTGTTAGAAAATTTCTCCCTTAAAGCATCAGACATGTGAAATGATTTATGACAGTTTTAGGATTTTCGGATAACCACTGGTGGATTAAAGCAGTTTAAATCTGTCTTTAAATATTAATACTTGTGCTGCTTTAATCCAGCATAGAGACTGAAACTCAAACTAAACTAAAGCCTGCAGTTTTAGCCTCTGAAATGTTGGTAACAGTGGGTTTAACACACTTCCTCCTTCAATGGGAAGCCTGACGGTGCTGTCTGTGCCAGGTCTGTGGGGCATACCTGTCAACTGACTGGAGCGAGCGTCGGCGAGGAGGGAACAAGCTGAGTTTCTTTGGAACTGGGGAGTGCTTTGTGTTTAGGGTGAGTRAAATTTTGTTGTTGCTGCCCAGTCGCAGGACAGAACTAGTGTACTGGTTAACTATCACCTCCCTCCCACTCAAAGAGGCCGGATTACATGCCGTCTTCATTTATGAAGTTTATTGAACTTTCATTGTGGAGGAAAAATTTTACTTTTAAGTTTTATGGTGACTCTTTTTCTTCCCTTGCACAGAATATTTTCTTAAAAGATCATAGAATCATCAAGGCTGAAAAAGACCTTTAAGATCATGAAATTCCATCACCAACCCACCACTACCATCATGTTCACTAGTAAACTATGTCCCCAAGTGCCACATCTACATGTTTTTTGAACACTCTAAGGATGGTGTTATAGTTTGATGCTGGGCAAATGCCAGGCACCCACAAAAGCTTCTCACTCAACTGTCCCCTGCTACAGTTGGGCAGAGGAGAGAAAATTTAATGAAGGCTTCATGACTTGAGATAAGAACCAGGAAAAAACACTGCAACAGCAAAATAGGCTCAACTTAGTGATATAAAGTGAATTTATTACTAACAAGATCAGAGCAGGAAAATTAGAAGTAAAATAAGCCCTTAAAAACACCTTTTATCCCCCATCCCCTCCCTCCTTCCCACTGGTAGTGCAGGGAGACAGAGAGTGGGAAATTTGGTCAGTTTATCAACCGTGATCTCTCACTGCATAGGGAGAGGAGTCATCACCCTGCTGCACCATGGGGTCCCTCCCATGGGAGACAGTTCTCCATGAGCTTCTCCAATGTGGCTCCATCTCATGAGCAGCAGTCCTCCCCAAACTGCTGCAGCGTGGGTCACTCGTCCATAGGGTGCAGTCCTCCCCAGACTGCTGCAGCGTGGGTCACTCGTCCATAGGGTGCAGTCCTCCAAGGACAGGCTGCTCCAGCCTGGAAGCAGGGCCTCTCTCTCCATGGTTCTCCCACAGGGTCACAGCCTGCTCCAGGCATCCACCCGCTCCAGCAGGGAGTCCTCCATGGGCTGTGGGTGGATCTCTGCATCCACAGTGGATCCCTGAGGGCTGCAGGGGCACAGGTTCTTCACCATGGTCATTGCCATGGCCAGCAGAGGAATCTCAGCTCCAGCGCCTGGAGCAGCTCCTCACCCTCCTTTGTTATCACATAGGTGTTACCACTATCTCTAACTGGCCCAGCCTTGGCCAGCAATGTATTCCTTAATCTTCAGAACATCAGGGATTGGTTCTGCTGGACGTGATGAAAGCTTCCAGTAGCTTCTCACAGAAGCCACCTCTGTGGCCTCCCCCACTACCAAGAGCCAGGCCGTGCAAAATGAACACAGATGGCAGGTGACTCTGACCACTTCCTGGGCAGCCAGTGCCTGACAACAGTTTCAGTGCAGAAATTTTCACAATATCCAATCTAAACCTTCCCAGGCACAACTTGAGGCTGTTTGCTGTTGTTTATCTCTAGTTAACTTAGACCAGAGCACACCCCCAACTGGCTCCACCCTCCTTTTGTGCAGTTGTAAAGAGAGATGAAGTAAAGATGTGAGATGTAATAAGGTAACTCGGAAATGACTGCATCATTTCTTCAACCACCTAAAAACCAAAGGAATAAAGAACATAACATCTGGCCTAAAAGACAGGTTGACCCAATTTTTACTGCTGGCTGTGCAGGTGGAGACTGAGGGGCTGGAATGTTCTTCTCTGAGCAGAGTTCTGTGTAGTGTATGTGCACTAACATCAGTTCTGCCCTGTTCTGCCTCTGCAGCTGCAGCCAGAAGTGGAACGCTACGAGTGGGTGGTCATAAAACACCCAGAACTGGCCTCGACTGGATCAGAGACAGAAAATCATGCGGCACCAGCTTCCAGCACCCTCTCCTCCAGCAGCATCCCCTCAGACCCCTCAGATCGCCTTTCTCCCTTCTTAGCAGCTCGGCACTTCAACTTGCCTTCCAAAACAGCCTCCATGTTCATGGCTGGCAGCAGTGAGTGCATCATTGTAGGTGAGTCAGTGTGAGAATTCGAGCGCAGATCCTACCCCGGCTCTTCCTGTCCACGTTAGATATTTGGTAAATACACCTGACCTTTTTATCTATTTCAGGATCACTACGGGGAGAGATAAAATTGCCCAAAACCTGACATCATTTCCCAACAAAAATTTTCTGTGGGAAAACCTGCACACAAGCATTTTAGGCAAAAGAGGAACTCATGGCTTTAAGCACAGCCATTCCTTCATAGTGCCTTATTCACAAGGAGAAGTAGTTCTCAAAAAGGAACTTACTTTGCATCAAGGCTTTTGAAACACTGAGCAGACTATAAAAAATGTAAATTCTCCAGGAACTTTACTGGATCTCTGTTGCTGGTGCCTTTGGCAAAAGTCTGCTTAGTAAAGTTGTAACCTAAATGGGGTTTACAAGGAACAGATCTGAACTCATAGTTGTTATTTTCCCAAAAATCTTAACTTGACACTTGTTAGGAGTGCAACTGGCCTTGCAAAATTACAATTTCCCCTGTAATGTCAAGTGTTGGCTGATTTCCCACTTAGTATCATGTGCTCTAATCATAGAATCATGGAATTGTTTAGGTTGGAAAAGCCCTCTAGGATGATCAATTCCAACCATTCTCCCAGCATTGCCAAGGCCGCCACTAAACCATGTCCCCAACTGCAACATCTACATTTCCAGGGATGGTGACTCTGCCACTGCCCTGGACAGCCTGTTCCAATGCCTGACCATGCTTTCAGTGCAGAAATATTCCCAATATCCAACCTAAATCTTCCCTGGTGATTGAGGTATTTTCCTCTTGTTCTGTCACTTGTTCCCTGGGAGCAAAGCCTGACCCCCACCTGGTTCCACCCTCCTGTCAGGGAGGTGTAGAGTGTGATGTGTCCCACCAGCTCTTCCTATCAGCCTTATGTAAGGGAGTCGCTTGTATTTATCATGTCCTTCACTATGGGTGATAATAAGAGAGATACAAGTTTGGGTAGTAGATACATAGAAGTGAATGTTGTACACAGCTCCAGCTGTGGACCAGAATTCCCACCCTTTTGATTCTTCAGGTGGCTTTAGTAACTGTTCTTTGATGGTTGCCCAATAATCAATAGGGAATCTCCCTTTTTGTTCTTCTAACACATTTCTGTCTATCTTTATTTCACTTCTCTACATTTTCTGACTGGAAGCTCTGTGAACCTTGACACAGACCACAAATAACCAAAATGCTTTTAACTCTTAGGTATTTTATAGTGATTTAGAAGATCAAGCCAGTGCTGTTACTGATCTTGTTTTCTCAGCTTGATTTTTGACTGCTAACAGAATTATTTGGTTTTCCTTTACTGGAGGGAAAATTTGCAATTGTAGCTTCCAGTATCCTCCAACACTGAAAAACAAATCTTAAACACAGGTAGTTTTTGTTCTTACTGAGTTGCATTACTTTTCTTAATTATTATTAAAAGAAAGCATCCAGTTCTGATATTATCATTCAAAACCTATACATTTGATTAAATGCTGTTAATACCTGAAGACAGCATGCAGACATTACTGAGGCTTCCAGTTGTTCCCATGGGAAAAGCACTAAAGTCTTTCTTTTATTTTGGTTTTGTATAGCTGTTTCCCATGCTAAGAAATGCAGAGACATCCTCACCCTATCTTTGTCTCTTCCCAGGAGGTGGTGATGGCCAGGCTCTGTACCTCGATGCAGATCTGAACCATGGGAGAACCAGCCACTGCAACACTTTCAATAACCAGCCACTGTGCTCTGAAAGCTTCCAGATCTCCATCCTGGAGGTGTGGGGCTTCAGGGACACCATGAATGGTTGATGTGACTATTATTAATCAATTCGTTTTTCAGTTCTGAGGATTCCCAAGGCAAATTCCAGTGCAGGAGCCATGTTAGAACATCCTTTCTGCTAGGCTCAATGCTGTGAGTCATTCCTAAGTGGTGCACTTGGATGCAGGCCTAGTTGTTTACTCCTATTTTATTTAAGATAGGTCAAGATGAAGTAATGTTATCTGCTTAACTCCTTGTCTCTTTACCTCTAGAGATCTGTATTCAGGGAATAATGAAAAATGGTAAAAATGAAAATGTGATGAATTCAGTCCCATGCTAGAGGGATACAGGTCCAAATCATGGGATAGGTTTGGTGTCTGCAGTTCCTCAGAGGCACAGCCCTGGCTGAGCTGTGCTGCAGAGCTCTGAGCCACTGGCACCAGTACCTGGCCTGAGCCAGAAATATCAAATGTCTGCTCACAAGGGAACACTGGTGACCTCAGATTTGTTGTAGAACAGTAATTCATAAAATCATTGCCTTTCTATGAGCAGACTTTGTGCAGACAAATCAGTACCACTAAGTTACAAAGCTCTTCATTCACACCAGAACCATGATTACTGATCTTCTTGTACCAGAACACTTGACTCATTGCRGTTGCATATGTTTGAGCAGTCTGCCTCTGAGAAACTGCCATCCAGCCTGGATGCCTATGTCCAAGGCTTGATTTTGTTTACATCCCTATTCCATATCAGTATGATGACTTCAGAGTGACTCCTGTATCAGGCAGATGAAAGCCAGAGTGTATCTGCAGTGCACAGATAYATTCCTTTCCTCATCTTTCCTGAGAGCTGAAATGAAGCTTTAACTCTGAAAATAACTGTACTGATATCCCTGTGTGTTTGGGGAATTAGACACAGTGACAACAGGAGCTTAATGCTCTCCCCACAAGTGAAGGAAGGAAGGCAGGAGGGAAATCTGGGAGTGARCAAATTTCCCAGGAGAACTGGAGGCAACACTCAGTTTCCCCAGATCATGTCTTCCCCTTGATGCAATTGCTCCCTCGTGAGAAGGTAAGAGTTTTTTTTTCCAGTATGTTCTCGTTGGGTTTGGGTGATGCAAAGAGGCTTTGCTCATTCCTGAGCATTGCTRCCTTGTCTGCAGACATGCCCTGTAGCATGTGATGTCAGAAGGCAATTCCCCAGTGACTTTATCCAAAAATTCAGCTATCTCTTGTGGAACTTCTCCAACATGAAGACAAACGTATAAACCTCAATGAGTAGTTCAGAGTATACAACCTCAAAGCTTTAGTGAATAACTCACTAGTTTTTCTGAACAATTCAATCTAAAACATTCTGTAGAATGGGATTGCTACTTAAATGTTATTGCTACTTAAACTTGAAGTTCATTAAAATGAAARATTTAAAATTAATAAWGTTAAAAGCTAGGCTGGACAGGGTYACATTGATATTCAGAGGTCAGAGGTGAGGTTTTGTCATGTTGGCTTGTCCAGCTTGCCAGCAGCGACAGTACCTCATGGCTTGGTAAAGAGTTGCCTCTTGTGGAGTATGCGAACAAACTTGGCAAAATGAGATTTGCTGCTTAAGGTGCCATTTTAAATATTTGTCAAAATAACTCTTTGAAGTATTAGCCTGCTAGCAGAGCAGCTTAAGATGTCTTTTGCACCATTTGTGTTTGCGACTGGATTCTCTCACCCTGTATGAGAGTCAGCACTGGGCCTTCCTTTCTCCTTCCCACTGAGTTCTGTCCACTTGTCTTTTCACAGCTTTACCATAAGCTTGATTGACCTGTGAGAGAGAATTCAGTTATACTGATAGATGTGGAARAACTCAGTCGTATCTGGCTTTTTGCAAACACTGACTGATGCTGCCTTCTATTTTTCCAAGTTACCTGTGTCACTTTGCYCTTGCAGATATCCCACAGGCTTCCTCAGACAAAAGTGTACCACTGTCTCCTTAGAGTAGGAGTAGGTGGGATTTCAATTTTTTTGCATCTCCTCTTTTGAGCTTGTCTGAGGAGGTGCCCTTGGGGAAAAAAAGCAACTCAAAAACACAATAGCATTAATTTCCAGCTTGTCAGAAATTCTCTGGARCTGTCTGTTGGTAGGATTTGTAAGAGTGTAATATTCTACTCYAAATGTATAAGTTTTATCTGCAAAAACTTTGTTGCACCTGCCAGTGTGATGGGACTTCCTTGCTCCAATGCCTGCCAGATGCAGCTATGGCAATACCTTGTCTTAAGCCATATCTAAGAAACATTCCTTGGAAACATGTTCCTTCCCCTGCTCTCTTCATAGGGCACAGTGATTTGGGTGTTTGGAATCAGAAATAACTCCTGGTTGCTGAGAAACTCATCATAGGGTATCAGTGTGAGAATCCAAGGACCAGTAGTGGACACCAGGGACGGGGGTGGTTTGGCTTGATGAAGCACTGCCCTGCCATAGCCACCCTGTGGGACTGGTCTGTGTGSTTTGGGCTCTAGTAATCCAGGGAGAGCAGTTCCACAGTGCTGCAGCAACTTCACACAATCCTTGTGTTCAGTAAAAATGGATATTTCTTGTCATGTGCAAATCCTCATCCATCATTCCCATTGTAGCTGTGAGACACCTTAGAAGAACAGTGTTGTGACTTGATCTTCTTTCTAGCAGTAGAGGCATTTTTCCTGTTTGTAGTTAATGRTCGTTGCTGTATATCGAAGTTCAAACCCTTTGTGTCATGCAAAGCTTTGGAGGTGGAGGCCTCAGGTTGCTTTTGAAGACAATGACTATAATGGGCACCTTATCAGAAAGTGGAGTTGTGTCAAGTACTCCAGCGGTGAAGTGCTTTAGTCAGTTGTTACTTGCAGCTCTGAACAACTGTTGAAGTGGGCTGTAGTCGCTGCGGTCCTGTTGGCTGCAATGACAGAGTGCCAGAGTCACAGGAAGGGCCYTGGGCTGGGAGCTGCAGCAGCTGCGGGCTGGGCRTCAGCCACCACCGTTCTGAGAGAGYGTCTGTGCTTTCCTGAGAAGCTGCTTTCTGCTTTGTCATGTTCCTTGAAAGCAGAAAAGATTAAAAACTCCTGACATCAGAAACATGACTGTAAATGGCATCCAAGCTGTTTGCAAGCCACAGGAACTGTATCCAGCTGTGTCCAAGCTGGATAGACTTCACTTCACCTGAGCTGTCTTTCCTCCAGCTCCTGCACTTTGGCATGCTCCCTTTTCTGATGAAGCACGTTAATCAACCTCAYGTTAATAGAGGCAAATTAGCAAAGGGAAGAGAAAAACTCACATTTCCTCTCTGGTGATGTATCTGAAGTCAAAATGGAGTGGGGGCCAGTGCTGTTCTTTGAAGAGTTAAACCATGCCAATAGAGATCTGTGGTGACTCAYGGAAGGGTGGTAAATGCAGATCCATCAACTGCTCTTCCTGTGTGCACATTGAAATTATGTACTTTGTCTTTGGAAATTCATCCTCATTTTTGGTGGGGTGTGATCTCTGCCCATAGGGACACCGATGCCACAGCCAGGAGCTGAACTRCACACAGCAATGGCACTGTGAGGGCTCAGCTCCTGCGAGTGACACTGAGCCAGGCTGCTGGGTATAGCCGAGGCGTGGGCACCTGGCTGTTGTGCAGCTCTCTGTCATGAATTTCAGACTATTCATAGTTGGGTTGATTGTGTGTGTACTGTTTGGGGTGATGTTTTCTTCAGATTAGTGGTGGTGTGCTGCTGAATTGGTTTTCTACCCTAACTTGGAATTGCAGCCCTACATCAATGGTATTTTTGTCACTGCAGAATCTTGAATTGCATTAAAGGTATTTTGACTGTGGAGGCTGCTGGCTTTGTCCTTTGTTCCAGTCTTTCCCTTCCTGTAGCACTCTTAGCAAAAGACACCCTGTAACTGAGAGAAACCTTGGAGCATGTGTTCTTTGACAGAACTCTCATTGTGGTGAGGTGGTTATATGGGTCCTTATAATTTCAGATCTCACAAAACTTCCACTAGGATCAGGTGTCAATCACTGTGAAAAGCCTCTAGGCTGGCAAATTCTGACATGAGCCTTCTTCCCTTTTCAGGGCCAGGGACTATGGTTTTCCCCCTTACCAGACTGGGTGTAAAATGGAGCTTAGGGGTGTCTCCTGTCCACCAATACCTATAAATCGTTATCAGACTACACAGTGACCAAGGATGTAAATGAAAAAAGTGGAATTCCGCTAAATTTTGAGGTTTAAACAAACTGCTGTCAGGCAGCTTYCTTTCGCCCAGAAAACCCTCACCCCACTATTTCCACATCATACACACATCTGGCCTTCCCGTGCTGCTGTACATTTCCAAGAGAAGAGCTGTGGTTTCAGGTGATGCAGTGTGTGGGAAAGGGATTGCTGAACTGGCAGAAACAATTCCCAGATGGTTCTCAGGGCAGCTCTGCGCTGCCAGCAGGGTTTGCTGCACGGGCAGCCCATGGCCACTAGAGGGTGCTCTCAGCCTGRCCCTGTGCCTCCATCACCAGCAAATTCATCCTTGCAAGCCTGAAGGACTTTCTTTGCATGGTTTCCAGAGGGRACCTGAGCCTTAAATACCATAAATCACAATTTTACCACTCCCTTAAAGGCCGTAAACTTAATTGTGAAGGTGCTTAGTAGCAGTAAGGTGCAAGTGAGGGGTCATGAGGAGCTSAGCAGTGCAGGCAGCTGCTTTGGCACCCTGCAACTGCTGTAAAACCCAGTGACTGAGACCTGAGAGGGGAATGTGCTTGATTGCATCAGGCAGCAGGAGCTTGGTGTCCTGCTTGGAAGGCACAGTGGTGGGAAGGTTCTGGATGTWGTCTCAGGGCTGGTAGCAGCTTCAGGAGCCTGAACTGGTAAAGGAAGGCTGTGCTATGGCTTGTTGTGCTGTTGCAGTGTGAGAAGAGTCTGATATTTGCCAATTGTGCTTTTTTTTCTGGATTTTCTTGGCAGACTTTTTTGTAAATGTCTTAGAGACACCTGCTTCCTTGAGAGATGTTTTATAACCAGCTGTGGCACACCACCACCTCTTGCAGCAAACTTAAAGCRTTTCCTGCCTTTTCAAGCCCCTCACTGGGTGTTTCCAACCCTGCCCTGCTATCGCCCTTTCCAAGTGGTGCTTTGAGCTGCAAAGCCGGTGCYTGAGCCTCTGGGAGGGTTGTGGATCCTTGCCTGTGCTCTGGTGCCATAGGCTGCTGCTGACTGATTTCAGACTGCACAAACAGCTCTTGGGTGGAGCTGGGCCCAGACTTCAACTGGGAAGAAGCTGAGCCTGTTCATTCCTGCTTTGCAAAGCTGCTGCTGGCTGCTCTTGGCCAAGGGTAGATAAGGCATTGGTTCTGTCCCTGAATGTGGGGAGGCACCTCCCATTGCTGACACAGCTTCAGTCCATGCCTGCATGTTGAGTCACCTCCCTTTCTGTGGTTAAATGTTCTCCAGAGTTATGACTGTGCTCTCCATGTGCCATTGACTGAAGTGTTTCTGACTGGGCTCACCCTCCTGATCCCTCAGCCACGAGGTGAAGAAGGCAGCTCTGGAAACCCATGGGGAAAAGTGCAAGCCCAGAAAGCCAATGGTCAGTACCTCATCCTCCCAGCCTTCATGATTCTGGATCCTCTGTCCCATAAATGACAGGGTGTGCACATTTTTGATCCAAAGCAAACACCAGCATTGGCTTCACTGGCCCAGCAGCCCAACTGGCTGCAACCAGAGCTCTCCTGCTGGCAGTGGTTGGGGCACAGTCAATTCCTCTTCCTTAAATGTCCTCCTCCTGCTGTAAAATCCTGCTCCTTGAAGTTCTCTGAGTTTATGTGAAGACCCACTTTTGCCCACTTACTCTGTGAAGCTCTTGGCTGTGCTGTGTTGCAGGGAGACAGTGCCTCTCCCAGCACTTTTTTTTTTTTTTTTTTTTTTTGCTTTTGCATCCTTACCTGCTGCAGGGGTCTGAGTAAACCATGCTTGGCTCACTCAGCTTGATGAGGCTCTGAATTCAAGCCCAACAAAGACCACAACTCAGACGAGGCTGGCTGCTCACTGTGAATCCTGCAGAGCAACAACTTGTCCAATTTTGTTCAAGGGAGGTGTAGGGCWGAAACTCCACAAGCTGCCACTGCTGAGCTGGGTCCACGTGTACATCCAGGCTGGTATCTAATCTATGGACTCCTTGCATGGCACATCATCCCTGCCTAAGGACCAGGTGCCACCTGCCAGCTCCAGCAGCAGCTCCAGCCCTGCAGCCCAGGTCCTGGCAGCCTGGTATAAGGGGTACATCTGCATCAGTCCTTGGCACCTCCAGAGTTTYATCTCAAGCAGCTTTGTCTCTGTGGTGCAGCACTCTACAACCACCTGCACCTCTCACCTGGACAACAGGATATCCCTTGGGCACAGTGGGACAGGGCTTCYTTGCTGCCTCCACAGACAAAATGCTGCAGGACTTCCCCATGGCCACACTCACACCAATTTCTTGGGGGAAGAAGCAGCAATGTCTCAGAGATCTGAGTTTCCCCGTGTTTGGCTGCCTGTTTCACAGAACCGGTCAGTGAACTCCAGCACTGCTTCCCACRAAAGGGCTGTGGTGGTGCTGGAACCCTGCTGGGGAGCAGAATTCCCCCAAAACCAACCTTGAGACAAAGCCAGAGGAAAATGAATTACAGCATTTCACAGCTCACAGAAGTACTTGTGGATGTGCCTGTAAGGATATGCCCAACAGTCATAACCTCTCTCTTACGTTCTTTAGGCTTTTCTTGCACTCCAGAAACATCAGCCACAGCTCCTGCAGGATACTGCAGGATACTGTGCTCTTGAGGGGCAAAGCATTTCCCAGAGTTAYGGCTTTCCTTGCAGCCCACCATGGCTTGTGCTCCAGGGCTGACTCCATCTCAGGAACTGAACTCAGCAGTTCAGTTGAGCTCAGCTTCAAGGACTGCAGAGCCACAGGTCCCAGAATTCCTGAGAGTGTGGGTCTCCTCAGGGTGCCTTCCTACCCTAATGAGCAATAACAGACTCATGAACAGATTTTTGAAATTGCAGAAGTGGAAACCACAGGAGGAATAACTGACTTGCTGAGGAAATCTTATTAATGCGTTCGACAGAGCCTTGGGGTGGGGGCAGGGGCAAGTTAGGGCATTCCAAGCAAGTGTGGGAGCACCTCTCCAGACCAGCTGCCTGCCTTGTGCTCAGCCCTCTGACAGCATTGGATTTGCCTCCAGCTCGGACAGGCCACTTGGGGAGCATTTCTAGCCCATGTTTAGGAGTGTAATGTGCTACTCCCTTGGCCAGTGGGGGCAGATGTTTGCTCCACCCCATTCCCTGTGTCAGGGCAACCTCCGGCTGGGTCAGAGTCAGTGACAGCTGCTGGGCTGTCCTGAGAGCTGTTTGCAAAGAAGAGGGTCCAGGGCTGCCCAAATGAAGTGGAAGGGCAGGCTCTTGTTSCTTAAGCACAAACACAAACACTTCTGCTGCAGGCAGAAGTCTTTGGCCTGAATTGTCTCCTGACCTTTGCCATGGACCGTCCCCCACACGACCRGAGCCTGCTGGCCAGGGCTGGATCTGTGTTTCCTTGTACACACAGCAACAGTACACTCATGGCGTCGGTCTGCTYCTGCCCTGCTTTTACACTGCTTTTCTGAGGCTGGGGATGTTTTTAAGGGTTTAATGTTTAATCTGYACCCTACTGATGAGGAGAACTTGTAGAGGTTATGGGAGCATGGAGGTGGCTGCCAAGGTCCTCTTCCTTCCCAGGCTCTGTGTGCATCCAACCTGAGAGGKTTTCAGAGCCATGGGGATGTGAAATACATGTGCCTCCAGCCTAAGAGGTTTTCGGAAGCATAGTGGTGTGGAATCCAGGGATATGAATCCATGGGAAAAGCCATTTGCCAGGGATGGTGAAAGGCGCGTGATGGACATCCCCCTCCAGGCGGAAGAGCTGCGCTGCAAGCACAGGGAAGAGGGGAAGTTTTGAATTTCCAGGCAGTTTTCTGCAGAAACACACTGCTCTGTGTCCACAGCAARCCCTTRTGGCCCCAGGCACTGCCACAGCAGTGTCAGTCCCCCTGGTCACACCACAGCTGTGGGACCAGCTCTGTCCCTCCTTAGACATGGGATCAGGGTCTCCCTTCCCCCAAGGCTGCAGAACTGGGGATTATGCAACAGGTCCCACGTGATGCCTGAAGCCATCCACTGGCCCTGAGGAGCAGCCCTGCCCTGGTCCCAAACAACCCCATTGTTCTCCAAATGGCCTTATCCTGAGCCCATCCTCCCTACTGCTGGTCCGGCACCATCGCCCAATCAACCACGGAGGCATCTGTCCTGAAAGCCCCCAGGAGCCAAAAATCTCTATGTCCCAACCCCAAATGTTCTCTGCTGCCCTTCTTTTGGGCTGTGCCATCCCCAGGGCTCCCTGGTGAGATCCAGAGCATTGAGCTGCTGCCTTCCACCTAGCAGCCCCAGCCAGGAGCTCCATGCCTACAGTTCCCGGTGAGCTGCAGAGATCTCCATCCAAGGGCTGTTCTGGCCCTCGGCAGCTTTCCTGCAAGCATGGAAATGGGGAAGGAGGGCTGGGCCACGAGGATGAGAAGTGCCCAGGGAACAGGCAGAGCCAGTGCCTCAGCAGGTATTACTAATACACATGTACAGGCATTCTGAAATAACAAGCTATTCCTGAGCTCAGTTTCCCCGTGTGATCCTGACTGTGTCAGCTGATAGGAAAAAATCCCTGCGTGGAAGAAACGGCTGTTTCTTGGARAGGCCTGGGCTGTGCAGGCCACCCCTTTCCTTTGGGCTCAGCAAGCCTGGAGCCAGCTGTGTGTGAGGGATGGCTGAGGACAG